CAAGAAATGAACTGAAATCAATTAAATCAAATTAAATGTGTAATTTATGATTTCAGCAGTCAGTCTATTTGATATACTCTTAATATTCAGAATAAAAGTCAGTCATTTCTCAGTCTATAATCACCACCATCTTATCTTCATATACAAGTATGTTTCTTGAAGATAAGTCAGAATGTATAAGAATAATCTTATATGAAAACAGTGATATTACAAATCTGACTATCTGATTCACTCATGTATTGTTCTGAGAAAGCCTCATTACTCAAACAAGCTCATCATTGAATTTATATTCAGTCTTATATAATTTAAACCCACTCAGTTCAGCACAGAAAACAGAGTTCTCACAGTATATATTATTAACTGATTCAATGAAATTGCTTATAATGAATCTTAACTCAGTTATAAAAAACTTCAGTTGTATGAGAATATTCTGTCATTGCTTCTGATTCAGTTTGTCTTATACATTCTACAGAATACACTCTTCAATATATTTCATAAGAATTATACTGCAATTTATTGCTTCATTTATATATGCATCATATACTTCAGAAACTGAAATGAAAGTGTTTGTATAAATAAATTATATTGCTTCAGCCTCAGCAATTCAATATGAATCAGTTATTTTTACTATAGTTTGATTATTAATACAGTAGATGTTTATAAAAGAATCTTGCATCAAACAATTGCTCATTATGAAATCTGATGCTTTGATATAATATACTATTTAATTATTTATAAGAGTATTGAGATGAGCTGATGAACTGAGAGAGGGAAATATGTATACAGCAGTCAGTATCAAGATATAAACAAGTTTAAAGATATCAGTATGAGGGGCAAATCTTTCTTTTTAATGTATTATACTCAGCTTGACTTCTTTCTACAAATAGAAAGTAGACTGGCCGATGGGACCATGAATTTCACATTTGATTTGATTTGATTTGGTTCCAGTTCATTTCTTGACATTATTTTAGTGAGATCAGAATCAGAATGAAAGTGTAAAGTGACTAGAATTATCAAAATATGAGTAAAATGAGACTAAAAAATCTTGATATTTTATGTAAAGTAACTGACTATCAAAAATAAGAACATGATCTGAGACTGATTATGATTTTAACTCAAGTTTGGTCCCATTCTGATGATTATATAATACATTAATTTGATGATATGATTGGTGGAGATATTACCCCTATCTTGCTTAGTGCTCAATGCTCTGATGACTTACTATTAGATTCTCTATCTACCACTGCCAATCTATCTACCACTGCTAATCTATACCACTGTCAATCTATCTACCACTGTCAATCTATCTATTGCTGCTAATCTATCTATCACTGCTAATCTATCACTGCTAATCTATCACTGCTAATCTATTGCTGCTAATTTATCTATCACTGCTAATCTATCACTGTCAATCTATCTATCACTGTCAATCTATCTACCACTGCCAATCTATCTACCACTGTCAATCTATCTACCACTGCCAATCTATCTACTACTGCTAATCTATCACTGCTAATCTATCACTGCTAATCTATTGCTGCTAATCTATCACTGCTAATCTATTGCTGCTAATCTATCTATCACTGCTAATCTATCACTGCCAATCTATCTATCACTGCCAATCTATCTACCACTGTCAATCTATCTATCACTGCCAATCTATCTACCACTGCTAATCTATCACTGCTAATCTATCACTGCCAATCTATATAGAGTAAATCATGATCCCATTTGATTCCATTTTGTAAAATGGAATCAAATGAAACTGAGACCACTAATTTATTAATAAAACATGATCTGAAACTAGATTTATAATATAAACAGTGTAAAGTAACTAATTTACTAAACACTATATGAGATCAGAACTAAGATATCTAATAATGGAACTGAGGAAAAATTTGATTCCAGTTCCATGCATGGTCACACAGTCAGTCTAATAGAAAGCAAGCTTTACAAAGAGTTGATATTATCTTTATTGACTCTAGACTGTCTATTATAGACTAGCACATTACATATATAATATAGATGATATAATATTTAGTAAATTAGTTACTTTACACTGTTTATATTATAAATTTAGTTTCAGATTATATTTTACTAATAAATTAATAATTCTGATTTTTTTTGATTTACTCTATATAGATTAACAGCAGTGATAGATAGATTGACAGTGGTAGATAGATTGACAGTGGTAAATAAATTAACAGTGATAAATAGATTGACAGTAATAGATAGAGAATCTAATCACAAATCATCAGAGTATTAAATATTAAGTAAGATAGAGATAATATCTTCATCAATTATATCATTAGATTGATATATTATATAATTATCAGAATGAGATTAAATTTGAATTAAAATTATAATCAGTCTCAGATTATATTCTTATTTTAATAGTCAGTTATTTTATATAAAATATCAAAATTTATTAATCTTAGACTGACTGTGTGATTATATATAAAACTGAGATCAAATTTTTCCTCAGTTCTATTATTAGATATCTCAGTTCTGATTCTATATAGTGTTTAGTAAATTAGTCACTTTACACTGTTTATATTATAAATCTAGTTTCAGATTATATTTACTAATAAATTAGTGATTCTGATTTCATTTGATTTTATTTTATAAAAATAAAATTAAATAAAATTATAATTTACTCTATATAGATTGACAGCAGTAATAGATTAGCAGTGATAGATAGATTAACAGCAATAGATTAGCAGCAATAGATTAGCAGTAGTAGATAGATTGACAGCAATAGATTAGCAGTGATAGATAGATTAACAGTGGTAGATAGATTGACAGTAATGATAGATTTACTAGATTGACAGTGATGAATAGAAAATCTAATAGCAAGTTATTAAAGTATTGAGTATTAAGTAAGATAAAGATAATATCTCTATTAATTATATTATTAGATTAATGTATTATATAATTATTAAAATAGAACTATAGTATAAACTTGAGTCAAAATTATAATCAATCTTAGATTATATTCTTGTTTTTGATAGTCAGTCACTTTATATAAAATATCAAGATTTATAAGTTTTATTTCACTCATATTTTGATAATTTCTGATCTCACTAAAATCATATCAAGAAATGAACTGAAATTAAATTAAATTAAATTAAATATATAATTCATAATCTCAGCAGTCAGTCTACTTCATAATTATTTAATTTATATATAATATATATATAGAGTAGCTGCAGAGAATATATAATAATATTGAATAAATTAGAGAATTAAAATCATATAGAAAAATAGTTGAAAAAGTGGAAAATTTAAATATATCTCTACATTTATGTAGACTGATTATATAATCATATATAAAACTGAGATCAAATTTTTTCTTAATTTCATTATTAGATATCTTAGTTCTGATTCTATATAGTGTTTAATAAATTAGTTATTTTACACTGTTTATATTAAAAATCTAGTTTCAGATTATATTTTACTAATAAATTAGTAATTCTGATTTCATTTGATTTTATTTTATAATATAAAATTAAATGAGATTATAATTTACTCTATATAGATTGACAGCAGTGATAGATTAGCAGTGATAGATAGATTGATAGTAATAGATTAGCAGTAATAGATTAGCAGCAATAGATTAGCAGCAATAAATTAGCAGTGATAGATTAACAGCAATAGATAGATTGGCAGTAGTAGATAGATTAACAGCAGTAGATAGATTAACAGCAGCAGATAGATTAGCAGCAGTGGGTAGATTGACAGCAGTATTAAGCAAAATAGAGGTAATATCTTCATCAATAATATCATCAGATTGATGTATTATATAATCATCAGAATGAGATCAAATTTAGATCAAAATCATAATCAGTTTCAGATCATATTCTTATTTTTGATAGTCAGTCACTTTACATGGAATATCAAGATTTATTAGTTTCATTTCACTCATGTTTCAATAATTCTAGTCACTTTACACTCCCATTCTGGTTCTGATCCCACTAAAATTATGTCAAGAAATGGACTGGGACCAAACCAAACCAAACCAAATGTGAAATTCATGGTCCCAGCAGCCAGTCTACATTTGTGGGTAGTTGAAAGGATGAATCCGGGGAAGAAGGCATCCACAATGGAGATTTGGGACGGGACAGCGTGGATTGGCAAAGAGCCGGCACCGTTGAACACGTTCATTCTGGAATAAGTGGTGGTGACGCGGTACGTGGCTAGATGGTATTGTGTGCGATTGGTTGGAAACAAGTAATACTTCGAAATTCTTTGTACTTGATCGAGGGAATTATGGAATGAGAAGTATGACCTACCTATCACCTCAAGATCTGGAGTGAATCTTGCCTCCTTATATGCGGTTATGTCCGACCTAGATATTGGGGAGGTTTTAGTCTACGGGGAGATTGACAACCCGTGATTCATCCAGGTTCTGATCGATATATCCTGTTGGAGTTACAGCTTGTAGTGAACCTGAAAGCCATCAAAGCAACACCATGCCTATGCAGAATGGTTTACAGTAAGAGTGGTTGGTTGATTGGAAAAGTTGTCTTATGAATTAAGTATCTAACAGTAGTAATAGATTGAGATACTTACACTTGAACAAATCCAATATCAGTGGGTGCTTGTTCAAATCCCAATTTTTGCCATCCAATAGTGGCTCAGTACTGTATGTTGTTCCTCTATACCGCCCCTTTTAGTTATAATTACTATCCTCACCGGAAAAAAAGAAATTTTCAGCTACTTCCATTGGCCCTCGTTTTACCTATATTGGCATCACTGAATTGTGACGACGTTTTGTTATGGTTTTCACTCCATCGCTTTTGGGCTAAAAACTATAACTAGCCCCTGACTTTTATCACTCTGTTTCTTGAACCGGACTAGTCCAACGAGCATGTGGGGTGACAAATTTTGAGGAAGTGCGGGTGACGTGTCCCAAAATGTAAAATCATGCATATATGTAGACCTGTCCTCCTTGTATGATAACTCTACAAGATTTCACCTTTGTCACACTTTGGCTCATCATGTCTGCGGGTGCAGTTTTATCACAACTTGAAGCATTAGTAGCCCGGACGGAATTGACAGCGTCAAAACTTGCCGCTAAGAAGATTCGGCCAACGAGGGATCAATTAGATGACTTTCAAAAACTGAGCGACAGTTTTAAGGCGGCCTTTGCGACTGTTGATGCGGAGGTCGAAAAACTATTGCTTGCAGGACAGCCAACCGACGAAGATATCAATCTGATGAATCAAATTCGATCTACGAAGGCTCATCGGTCAATAACGACACCCACCTTGACGATTTTTAGAAGGAACCTTGTGCTTATTTTCACCGGCCCCAATGACTCTAGTTTGGATTCCCTACAAGTCAAAGCAAGGAAGAAACACACTCGGGCAAGATGTGAGGCACTCAGAGGCCAAAGCCCCCATGTTATTCTAATGTGGGCACTGGCACTCCCGCCGTCAACTTGGAAAACGTCTGGAGGAATGACAGATAGTACTTTCAATTTTCTCATTGAGGGAATAAAGATGGAACGAATAAATCAACTGGCGCCCGAGATACTCCCAAGTGTGCAATCCCTGGGAAAAGAAGAACCTTTGAATAAGTGTGACACCTTTCAAGCATTCACGTCAATACTTCCTGGTGACCAGGCGGGACCTTCCGACGTTTTGCGCCTTTCCCAACGTAAACGACGGCGGATAAGGGAAAATCCAACAACCCCAGACAGAGGTTCCCAAATTCCGGTAGTAGGCACAGAGCAACAGGTCCAAGGTGAGACAGATCTACGTTTGATGATAATCGGAAGCTAATGAAGTCAGCTGCCATCGAAATGCACCCGGGCCCAATCGCCGCCAAAAATATATTGATGCAACAGGGAAGACGTAAGCAATGACAGCGCTATCTTATGCAAAACAATGTTAATAATATACAACAGAAATTGACTACAGGTGTTCGGGAGTAGATATCAGAATGCTGCGACTCTTAGGTGACCGGGTCTATGATGCAGTTGAAAGCAGCGTACAATGGGAGTGGGAACGCACTATTGGGGGAACAAAAACAGAGGAAACAACAGATTGCGTGAATGCCCTGGTTCCCAAGAATCGAGGCCATGATATCTCCATCACTCTGTCGGTTGGTCATGAAAATGGCCTAAAGCTGATCGAGGATCTGGGAGCTATCCGCGTATGAACTTCACGGTCGCTCCTATTACGCGAACCCTATACCCAGCAGGAACGTTTCCTGTCTCCTCTAAGGAAGGGTCTTCTCCATTTTCCCAGTATGGTGGAGTATCCATCATTATTTTCGGATCATAAACCATGATCGAGTCGCCCCTCCCTATCACTTTTCTGGGATAATTTACTTCATCGAAAAGCTTGACGTTTATATATTCTTCTTGTCCCTGAAGCGCTCTGTCCCCAACCTTCTAACTAGAAATTAGCTTATCTGTAAAAGACATCCGGGAGTGACGCTAACCTCTTCAGTGTCTCCTGGCATTTTCTAGTCGATGTCGCGGTATCGCAGTCACCGTGGTGATCGCAACGGAGGGAAGACTTCGTAGAATAATCTGCAACAGCAAGTTGTTAGAAAGGCATCGGTCGAGGTATTGTGGAGTGCTTTCACTTTCGTAATTCCCTTTAGATTAAACTATGCTCATAAGTAGGCTTTGTTGTTTTGTCAAGCATGAATCCGACCACCTGGTTTCGAGGTGACCGACCGACAGACAGGTAGTAGCGATGATATAACCAGATGGATTTAACAGACTGGTTTTAAATTACTGATGTGGAAGGCTTTAAAGCGTCATCAGCCTTCAGCTGGCACTCAAAGATTGATTCTCCAACGTGGGGAAATTTTTTTTCGAGGGGCAAAGATAGGGTGACATGTGACCAGTAACTGCCCCTCCTGAAAAGTCATGGTCGCGTTGGGCAGCAAAAAAATCAGAGCATAAAATCCGCCTCTTGAGGAAATAGATCTTGAACAAGTAATATCGCAGCTCAACCTTATACAAACTTTTGCCACCCATTCACTATCTTTTGCGTTTTCTTATTTACACAAATTTAAAAATTCATCTGCATAGGATCTTGGAGTTAACAAGCTGAAATCTTCTTTTTTCTCATTTTCTTGACAAGACTAGCGTGGTTCTGCTTGATAACGTTTCCACCGACTGTCCCGAAAAACTTAAGAAGTTGTCAGGCAGAATGAAGGCCAATAGGAAATTATTAATTTACTTTACTGAGAATTAGGACTAGCTCGATGCAATCTAAATTCATTAGAGTCACACCCAATCGAGAGTGAAGCGCCTTCATCCCTTCAAAATATTCGAGACTTAAAGCTGTTGTTCGCGTGGTTCATCAGTGGCGTCTGCTGCCAAATTCATTGAAGCTTTGGAGAGGATGTATGGTAAGAGCATCCTCATGAAGCTCAAAGCTGCAATTTGAAGCTAAGCTCCCGTTAGCAGCAGTTGGCATGTGGTCAAAGAGCATTACCGTTGCAAATTGCGTCCATAGTGGCTGTATCATATACCCCAAGACTGTGATAATCATTGAAATGAGCGACAAAAGCCCCGCAGCTGTGGTTGCCGCCCAAAGTGCTCGCCGATGCCGTGAGATTACGGTTGTTGACGGACACACGAACATTTTCAGATAGAAAAAATGTCTTTCTAGGGAATGAACTCTTGGGCTGTTCTCGTTCGCTGCACAGATTATCCAGAGCCTAAGATACTGTATGAAAATGAAAATATTCTCGACAACAGTGAGAGCAAGAACCACTGAGTATATAAGATGTCGCGATCTCGGCGAAATGCCATCACTGAAAAAGCTAGAATCGTCAGTGACTATTATTATAATCGTGAGGAGTATAACCTACGAAAATAGTGTCAAGAGCTTGCAAACAGGGAGTGCGATGGCAAAGCTATTAAGTAGCTGGGAAAGATGATTTCTGAGAGTGAGATACTCAAAAACAGTTAGCTTTCTCAGCACGGTGCTGGAAGGAGCGTGCTGACCTCGTGTATTGTCGGTAGAGCCAGGAGCACCCCGGTTTCAAAAGTGAGAATTGGCCTTGAAGGATCTTCCACAGCAATCAGCATTGTCCAGTCGTTAACTAAATGTACACTTTACCTTGTTTCCAGACCGGATAAAAGGCAGCTAGAAAGATAGAAATAATGGTCCCCATAAAGACTATTGCGCCTATTATCGCCTGACATAGAAGGGTTGGATTTCGGTGTAACAATCTGATCTTTGAAAGGTCTCTATTTGCAATTAAAATCAACCAAAACATAAGACTCGCTCCTGAGGAGACCGATGCGATTGTCGAAGCCGCAAGTTGAAACACAAAAAAGTTTCCCATTATGAGTTACATTGAGCTCACGATGAACAGCACTTTGATGAGTGAGCTGCTCTCTATATATACTTGCTCTTATCCTCATATCAGAAATGTAGCTTCCCTTGTGTGGATCGGGAAATACTGGTCTCGTAACTTAGTGTTGTTAGACTGAAACATCCCCAGCCAAACACAGCTTTTTACGACTTGTATAACATATCTTCCTTTTGGATTTGTACAAGTGTAATATAGCTTCCTTGTGTTTTAAAATGCTCGGGATTGTATGTAGTGACCAGGGGTCAACGTTACACAAATCATGCAGCTCTAGGCAGCACAGGCTGTATGCTGTTCCCCGTTTATGAGAATCCAAAAAGGACCCTAGAGCAAACCTATATAAAACATGGCAAAGACACGTCTCAAGACCACATCTCACACACTACAAGCCTTATTAGACGTTTACTAGCCTCACATTAAGCTTCTTTCGAACATTCTTTGCTCGCCTTCATCACTTCCACGTAAGATTCTGGCTTTAATTATTTTGGATTACTGTTACTTACAATCTTTCTCAGCATGTGTACTGTTGACGTTTCCACAAAAATTTATGAGTGCGGCGACAGAGTCACAGAAGATGTCAAATTTACTCCTTGCCCTGGCATTGGCACTCCTTCCTGTCCCGGCCGCAAGGAAAACACTTTGGGTTCGAACAGAGTGAAAGGAAAATGTGGGAGACATGGTTGCATTAATCCTTAGGTAAGAACTGCCACAGTCTGCATTCAGCTCTGTTAGTCAACTAAGGGTATATTTTTTGGCAACAAAGGCACACCTCACAAGTTTCCACAACTTCGGAAATCATGAATGGATGACAGACGACGTTTCGTTTTCTGCTGTGTTGTTTCAAATAGCGATTAGGACTCAACACTCTCATGCCTCCCAGCCTGTAACGAAATTTCTTCAAATATGATGCTTTGATCACGAACAATTGTATCTACTTCTCCGTACTGTTCCATCCAGCAACCTTGTATAATGTTTCCGCCAATTAGACCTTCAACTGGGGGAAACATACCCAAGGAGAAGAGTTCATCCACCCTTTCTCCGTAACTCAATTTTTCCTTCAATGATCCGAACGGCCCTGCAGACTTGTATGGCCAGTGACCAGTCATAATCGTATAGAACACTGATCCAAGGCTGAATATATCTGTCGCTTTCGTTGATACCCAAGGTTTCCGTGGGTTGAAAAAGCCAGAATCTGGGAGATGTCCACCATCTATGACACCGCTAGTTGAGCCTCCAAAATCACTAAGGAATAGATTGAGAATACCATCGGAATTCCTGTGCAGCAAATAGTTTTCGGGGCGTAGATCAGAGTGGATGACGCCTTTCTGGTGAATGTATCGTATAGCTTCTGCAGCTTGGAAGCACCATTGAAGACGCAATATTGTACTAATCACGCCATTGCCGTGGTCAAGGTATGTTTGCAAATTGCCAGCATTGGCCTCAACAAAAAGTAAGCCTCGGGGGATTTCAGAGGGGCCAAGGAACCTGAGCATACATTAGTGCGGAAAGGAAATGAGATTTTGAGTGTCCATACTTTATTATTCTAGGGTGGTCCCCTAAGATTCCAAGAATTTGCTCTTCAACATTGAAACTGTGCTTGATATGCTTGACCGAATCGTGGGATTCTGCGGTTGGAGAATGCCACCATGAATAGCGAGGCGATTTGAGAACAACCCCAGGTTTGATCCGTGTAATGATGGAGGTTGAGCCATGATCCAGAACTTCTTTGAAATGAGGTTCATAGACCACCAGTTCCGAGCTTCCGTCCCATGCAACTGCTCTATTTTCTTCAATGTGCGTTTGTGAATCTTTCGGTGGAGTTGATTTTGCGTGCTAGACAATAAAAATTTAGCGAAAAGACAAACTATAGTTTGGCGGTGTATCTTACTTGCCGTATCTCCTTTTCTATGCTTGTGCACTGCTCAACATCCTCAAATCCTGGCTCAGCCAACCCATTGAGCCGAAATTGGAATGGACGAACAATACTCCTTGAAAACAAAGATATAAAATGCCATAGAGTAGACCATATCGGCCAGCGAAGTGGGTGGATGAAGGTTAGCATGACGATGCTGAGACCTTAAAAGCTTTTCGAAGATGATCTTGCTTAATTGCTCGCAAGTTTATAGCCAAATTAGGCTATCGGAAAATTGTAATTCCGGCTCACTAGTAGCCTCAGCAGAAGTTAAACACCCAATAGTTACCTTGTTGTAACAGGTGTGCCACCAATTAAACAGATGTTACCATTGTTGCAGATTAAACTGTTCATACCACCTGTACAGTTCATATAATCTGTTCCAACAGCACTATCAACAAACTTGATACTATTCTAATAATAGTTTATAAATTAATTAAAAAAAGAAAGAGAAAGAAAATCAGAAGAAGAAGTTATATAAAAAAATTCTTATAAATAAGAGAATTAAAATAGAAGAAATATTGAAGATTGTACTCTGAAAAAGTACAGAGTGAAAGAATTATTAGAGTATTAAAATATATATAATTGTGAGATGAAATTATAAGAAGATATAGAAAAACTTCATAAATATATATAAGTATATAAGCACACAGTAGAGGATTGATTGTGTAAATTAATTATCAATAAATACTAATTTATTATATTATTTCTTTTTACTGAAATAAATAAGAATTTGTAGATATTAAGTACA